CCTGGCGGGCGCACTTTGCGTCCAGGGGCCCCTCTGGGCCGTCCCGCGCGCGAAGTAGAAATGCTGCGAGGCAGTCGCTGGAGATCTTCGCGCGCCTCTGGCCCGTTGGGCTGGCGAGTTTCCCCCGAGCATGTCCAGTGCGCTATGGGGCGCGCGACGAAGGGGCGGGCCAATTTCGACGACTCCTTCTCTCCTCTCCTGCTGCTGCCTCCCATTCGTCCTTTTTCCCGCTGCTGCTGCTGGCCTTCCTGCCGCTGCTGCCGCTCCCTCCTCTTTCTTTTCTCTTTACCGTCGCTGATGTTGCGCGGGCGCGCCTGCTTGGCATGCCGGCGCGCCGGGCAGGCTCGCGATTCTGCGCCCACGATTCCGGCAACGCGATTTTGCCCACGATTTCGGACACGATTTTGCCCACGATTTCGGGCACGATTTTGCCCGCGATTTTCGGCCACGATTCCGCGCCCCCTTGCAAGGCCCCACGAAACCACCCACGATTTGAACACGATTTATTCCCGGCGGAGCCGGGTGAAATTCCGTGCCCGCCGGCTGACTGATGACTGATTGAACGTCAGGGGACAGCTCGGGAGACACATTTCAAACCGCCCGCGGGAGCGCAACCTGGCGGCGGCAACCGCAACCCAACCGGGCGACACATTTCAAAGCGCCCGCGGGAGCGCGCAACCGCAACCGCAACCGCAACCGGGCGACACATTTCAAAGCGCCCGCGGGAGCGCGCAACCGCAACCGCAACCCGGCGACACATTTCAAAGCGCCCGCGGGAGCGCGCAACCGCAACCGCAACCGCAACCGGGCGACACATTTCAAAGCGCCCGCGGGCGCGCAACCGCAACCGCAACCGCAACCGGGCGACACATTTCAAAGCGCCCGCGGGAGCGCGCAACCGCGCAACCGCAACCGGGCGACACATTTCAAACGCCCGCGGGCGCAACCGCAACCGGGCGACGCATTTCAACCGCAACGCAACCGCAACCGGGCGACACATTTCAAAGCGGGAGCGCGCAACCGCAACCGCAACCGGGCGACACATTTCAAAGCGCCCGCGGGAGCGCGCAACCGCAGCCGCAACCGCAACCGGGCGACACATTTCAAAGCGCCCGCGGGCGCGCAACCGCAACCGCAACCCGGCGACACATTCCAAAGCGACCGCGGGAGCGCGCAACCGCAACCGCAACCGCAACCGGGCGACACATTTCAAAGCGCCCGCGGGAGCGCGCAACCGCAACCGCAACCCGGCGACACATTTCAAAGCGCCCGCGGGGGCGCGCAACCGCAACCGCAACCGCAACCGGGCGACACATTTCAATCAGAGCGTGAATTACCTCCCCCGCTTTCGCTTCCAGACAAAACCAAGCCATACCACTCGCCTCCTCGTCAAGCGGCCTGACCAGTACAGGCTGCAATTTGGCATCGTTTGGTATCTCTTGGAAGCGAGGGTGGTCAAAAGCGAGGTAGGTTTGTTTTCCCCCTGTTCAAAGCGCCCGCAAGCGCAACCGCAACCGCGACCGCACTTGGGCGACACATTTCAAAGCGCCCGCGGGCTCGCAACCGCAACCGCAACCGGGCGACACATTTCAAAGCGCCCGCGGGCTCGCAACCGCAACCGCAACCCGGCGACACATTTCAAAGCGCCCGCGGGAGCGCGCAACCGCAACCGCAACCGGGCGACACATTTCAAAGCGCCCGCGGGAGCGCGCAACCGCAACCGCAACCGCAACCCGGCGACACATTTCAAAGCGCCCGCGGGAGCGCGCAACCGCAACCGCAACCGCAACCGGGCGACACATTTCCAAGCGCCCGCGGGAGGGCGCACCCGCAGGGTTTCAAGGGGGTCGATTGCGCGTGCACTTGTGCGTAAGCTGCCCGCGGAAGGTGGCGCGTAGGCGCCTTAATGCGGTCTGCCGCGCGAGCGGCTTGCGTGATCCACCGCGCAAGGTCGTCGCGCAATCGAGTGCAACCCCCCTTCTGATCGTTTCTCCCTGGGGGGTCAGGCGAGTGAAATTGCTCCAGCCACGTCTCGGCCACGCTCGCGGGACTGCCCCCCGCAGGGTTTCAAGGGGGTCGATTGCGCGGGCACTCGCGCGCATGCCGCCCTCGTAAGTTCGCGTGTCTGCCGCGCGAGCGGCCTGCGTGAGCCACCGCGCAAGGTCGTCGCGCATTCGAGTGCAACCCCCCTTCTGATCGTTTCTCCCGGGGGGGTTCAGGCGAGTGGAGTTGCCTCAGCCACATTTCGGCCACGCTCGTGGGACTGCCCCCCGCAGGGTTTCAAGGGAGTCGATTGGGGGCGGGGGACGACAAGGAGAAGAAGGAGGAGCTACTGGCGGAGGGCCCGACGACGAGCCCCCGCGTGGCCCGCGGTTCTCCGCCGGGACATTGCAGCGGGGAATCCCTATTCCACGCTGGTGCCCTTGATTTTCTCATTGATTTGATTGTGAGACAAAAAAGTGTGCTTCCGAGGAAGGCAGGCCCCCAAAAATGCGCAAAATCGGGGCCAAAAAAGTGCCCCAAATCGCGGAAAATGCGGCGGGGGGGTCGTGGAGGGGGCCAGGGGTCCCCCCGGGGACCCCCGCTTGGTTGGAGGGGATGCCCTCGCGGCGGGCTGCGCTGCCTCGCGCGGCGGGTTCGCGATTGCGCCGCCGCGCCTGCGGCCGGCCGTTGAGGCTTCGAAGCCGACGTTCGCCTTCGGGCCCGTCTTCTCCGCCACCAGCGCAGCCGCGCGCCGTGGCCCCCAGGGG